ATAAAATAAATTTAAAAAAATGAAATAATTGTAGATCTTATCCTTGTGAATCTTATTATAAGACCAGAATTTTGATATACTTATTTATTTGATGTATAAAACTTTTGAAAACATGTCCATCTATTAAATATTTGTTATTATATATTTCAGTCTACCGTGAAATCAGTTGAAAATAACATAAATCACATGTTGCAACATCAACACCATGTCCGTAGTCAAGAAAATCGTGATTATAATTTATTAGTTGATAACAAAACATATGTGAACAGATGGTCTATAATGCAAATTTTGTTAATAATGGGAACAACAACTTTACAAGTTTATTTTGTCCGTAAATTATTTGAAACTAAAACTGGAAAGTCAAAAACAAGGGCTTAAAAAAATAATATCATATTTGTGTGTATTATATTAATTATRTTATTTTTTTGTAATGTCATTCCTTTTTTTTTCTAAGAATAATGTATCTTTTTATAAAGTAAAAAACATCAAATTATAATATGTGATGAATAAAAATGGTAAAATAGAAGTTTAATTTTTTTAAATACATATTTTTTATTTTTTCATTTTTAACTACAATATTTTATTATGAAATTGACAAAAAATAAAATAAAATTTAATATTTTTAAAATTGTTCAGTATTTATAAAATTAATTAATAAGGACTACTGATTAGAAATAAAGTAACAACTATGACATATTGAAAATAGTATCAGCAAATAACATAATGCATTTCTTAAGTTATTGGCATTAACATTCAAATAAGAATCATTTTATGTGATTTTAATTTTGTTGAAAGTGAATATTTACAATGTATACGTTATACTAGGTTTACAAATTTATAAATTTAACCAAGAACCTAATATATTCCAATAAACTGCGATAAATTATTAACTAACTAAACATTTTTAATATTGCTTCGATACAAAGCATTTGAAAAGAAATCAAATATTTTAATAATATCAATTAATTTAATAGAAGTTCAACATAATTTTGATGTAGGCATTTGGAATATTACTATTATATTATTATAATAGGTTTACTTAACATTTTTAAAAGAATTTCAAAAATTAATTAAAATACTTAATATAAAATGTAATAATACTAATGGTATTAATCATGATAAATGTTATTTTTTCAATTGTAAATATTCTAAAATTTCTTCCCCAATATTTATGAAGTTGGTATTTCATTATTTAAAAAAAAAAAAACAATTTACAATCCTATCATTTATTTTTTATATTTTGTTTTGTTTCATTTTATTTCATTYGTTGTGCTAATTTTTGATTTTTTTATCTACATAAATATTATTGTGACTATCATTTGATTGGTTGTCGTCAGTCACACTGTTCTGAATGTCAGTTCTCTCGCTAAAATCATTATATTCTGCAAAGTCTTCAACAACCTCTGAAGGCGGTATCACTTCATCAACATAATAATCTGTCCACTTGTTTGTTTTGTACTCTTCATCAACATTTTCAAAACCATCATAGTGTAATGACTGTTTTGTTAACCGTGATGATTGTTTGGAAAAAATCAATTTCTTCGGTTCTACATTAAACTCCATGTTGTAAGTAAGTTGTTCATCGTTGATTGTCCATGACTCCTCGCTCTCCTCTTGTGGGGTAATAGTTGTTGTAGCTAAGGACCTGTCATTGACTGCCTGACTTTGCATTGATTTTGTGCACGATTGTTTTACTATCGGAGGGAACATTTTACCTTTGCATTTATACATGTATATTTTCTCACTAATGTCTTCCTTCCGTTTTAATAATGTATCATATGTATGTTTAATGGTTGTGAGTTCCGTAGTAAATGATGTATCCATTTTCAGACTTTGAAGTTTTATCTATGTATTAAAAAATAAATATTTATTATATGATGGGTAGGTATAATATGATAATACTTATTGTTGAATTTTGAACATAAACCCTATCTTTCTATGTGCAAGTATATAGGCCATAGGGTGATTCTTTTAACATAAGATAAATATTCACTATCTGTATCTAAGTATTAACATCAAAAATATTTTCAAGCTTTATTTGTTAGCACATTTTTTACTGTTTACATTTAATAGAACCATGAGCTTGAGCTAGTTTATAGTTCTATGAATGGTACTAAATTTTAATTAACTAATAATMTTAATATCTTAAGATGAGAGGTTAATTTATGTACTAGCTTATTAGAAAGTAATATTAATTTAATATTTACATTGATCTTCTGTTGTTCCATCAAATACTGTCGAATTTTATTAATGTTTGCACAAACATCTTTTAAGATTTGTATTTTGAAAGTATTCCATTTTAATAAATCAATTATTGATTCTGTTTTAGAGCTGATTTTATTCTGAAATAAAAAAAAATCATAAAACAGTACATACTACATAGTATCTAAAATGGTTGTTTCTTTATCCTATATTATAATATTTTAATAGGTATATAGGTACTTCTAATAGTCTTATTTCTTGAATAAAACTTTCCTTTGTATCTTTGGCCTTGGACTTTGATTTAATAATCATATAGTTGATTATAGTCATTTCCATCTCATCTAAAAAATTCCAATCTGTTTCAATTTTAAATTTCTTTATCATCTCATCCTTAATGGCTATCTTATAGCTTTTTAGAATGTTCTCCATTTTAATTATTTCTGTACGAAACTGTTTAGCAACTAATTTTTCATTTTTGAATGTATATATTATATCTTTTTCTTCTTTTTTTAAATCCATCACTCTATTTGTTAAATCTTGCATAACATTTCCATATAATAAGATACAACTTTTCAATAATTTATCTTTAGTAATTTGAGATTTATTTAATACAATTGTGGTTTTAATATCATTTAGTTTCAATTGTTTTTTTACCTATTATTCAAACATATAATATGTAAAAATCAATACATATACTATGATAAATAGGAGGTTAAACCAAATTATTATTTTAAAAATTGATTAAAATTAACTCCAATTCAGGTAAAATTACAGAGTACAAATTGGGAATCTAAAAAAATAGTTCTTAAACAATAATACAGAACTAAAAAAAATGTATTCATTGAATTATTTTTATGAAAATACTATAACCCAAAATGTCATTTCTATTTTGAATAAAATTGTTTAATAAGCACGAATAAAAGTTACATAACTAAAATTTGATATTATTATTGCTGCCTACTAAAATTATGTGTTGGCATTTTAAGAGGACGTCACACCCTCTGTCTCCGTCTTACAAACATAGAACATAGCAAAAACTGTACTTGCGCAGGACAACTGTTCTCCCTCAGCACTTATAGTAGACTTATCAAAAGTCTACAACACATAGTTAAGAACTTTATCTGTGTCTTAGTGCCGTTGTTTTTTTKATGATACAAACCAATAATTTTTCATAACTAAATATAAAAATAAAAACAATTTTTTTTTCTTAAGCTAATAACTTAAATTATATTTATGCCATCAAAAAGACAACGGCACTAAAACACAGATAAAGTTCTTACCTATCTGTTGTAGAATTTTGATAATTCTAGGGAGAACAGTTATCCCACGCAAGTTGCTATGTTCTACGTTTRTGTTAGCACATGCGAATGTGGCGTCCTCTTAAAGATTTAATGATTAAATCAATTCACCAAAAAATTAAAAATTAAAAATTATACAAATCAATATTATAATAATAGCTAGGTATATMACCAAATTTTTCAATAATTAAATACAAATATTGATTTTGATATCTACTAAATTATTGACCTTACTCTGGTATAATAAACTTTAAAAAATGTTGAATTTCTACTGTAAGTTGTTTATGTCACTGAGATGATATTCTTTCAAAGAAGTAATTAATGTAAAGTTAATGAGCTTACATTTAAAGTCACCCAAAACTAAAAATTTAATAATTATTAAAGTAAAATTCTAACCCGATATGCTTCTAGTTCATTTATATTTTGTTTTAATTCATTCTCAATGGCATCAAATTCTTCATATATTAAACTTAAATGTGTATTAAGAACATCAATTTTTTTTTTACTGTCCTCTATAGTTTGTTCAATTTCATATCGTTTTGACCTCAACTCTAATGTAATATTAAATAATTTTGGATCGCACCCTAATGGTAATACTTTTTCGTCAAACACTACTTCTCGACATATTGCTGTAAATGATTCTGCATTTTCATTTATGAATTCAGAATCAGATTCATCACTTCCGTCAGATGAAGATGATGATAGTGTATCTAAAACATAAATAGGTATATTGCAGCAATATACATTTTTTATGGAAAATGTGAAACTTTTTTAAACAACTATTTGGGGGAAGAATTATAAAATAAATAAATAATAATATACCATCAGCATCATCAGATTTGAGTTTAGGTACTTTCAATTTCTTTTTAAAAATTTTTTTAAGATGTTTAGCAAAACCATCATTCCTAATTTCCATATCAAAAGTATGTTGAATGTCTATTAGCATATTTGATTTATTATTGATAACATCATTCAAATATTTGATTTCTTCTCGAATGCTTTGTATCTAGTAATATTTAAATGTATAGTTAGCATATTATTAATTGGTAGCAGCTAATAAAAATACATTACTTGGTTAATTTTATCGTTTTTTAAACCTGTTTTAAGGTAAACACTGTGTAAACATTCATCTTCAACTAAGTCAAAATCATTTAAAATTATTAATTCTTCTTCAAATGTTAAAGCTAATAAATCAAGAAATTTAATTCTGAGCTTGACATCTTTTCGCATTTTATTCAATTCCGTTAAATCATCATCAAACTTATTAATTTTTGTTAACATAGTTTCATGCAAATGCTTATGTCTATATTTTAATTGTTCTTTTCTCATATTTTGCATAATGATTTCTAAATGAGTAAGCTCATCAAATATTGCATTCTTATACAGAAAATGACTTTTCCCGGGCTTTAAAACCAAATCTGTCGGATCCCAATGACCAATAGGTTCAAATGAATCAATTAAACTAGACTGGAATGTAATTAGATCAAATAAATAAGCAATTAGGAACTTAGATAGTACTTACCTATTTCTTACAATACACATAGGTACAAAAAAAATTATTTGATTTTATTATTTATTTTATAAACAGTATATGAGCTAGTGTGTGCTAAATGATAGTATATAGCCTAATGATTACATAACAATAATAATATTTATATAAAAAGTTTTGCATAATTTATTACCAAATTTCCTAATAAAAATAATGAAATTTACGAAATAATAGGTAGGTGCCTAGAGTTAAGTATGAAGAGAAAGATGGCTCTATATATTGACTATCTGTATCATCCTCGTAAGAGGCCAGTGTCAGACTACAAATTAGGTAAAGTAACCAGTAGGCTTATAGGCTTTATAGGGAACCTGTAAAAATGGAAAACCATTTTTTTATTGTATGCAATAGACATTTTGATTTTGGATATTATCAAATATATTTTATATTATCAGACAACAAAAATTAACATTGTATGTTTCAAGCTTCCATCGACCGCCGGAAATATTTGACAATCAAATTGTTTTGAACCAAGTATTATAATTTTATTTACTTTATGTTAATCTATTTTTTATAGTTTATTGAGAATCATTTTTTTTTAGTTAGTAAATTTAATTAAAATATAATTAATTAATTAATTTTTTCTGTAAATAAATAAGTTAAAAAAAAAAAAAAATTGAGTAAACATTTCCATTAAAATTAGTTGGTGATTAATAATTATTATCTAAACTACTTATTTTAATTATTGAGGAGTAAAATTAAAGATGTGAGTACTGAGTAGTTAATAATATTCTAGGAGGCTTAGAAATTTCAACCTCTACTTTGTTAAATCTGGCACTGTAAAGGGCTCATAGAAAGGATAGTTGTTACGTTATAAAAAAGAAAGAACTATGTATATAATWAATTACATTAACATAACTACTGTATATAGTACACAAAAATAATAAATGTTAATATACTAGAGATGTTTGTCTGTTATTATTAATAAGAGACTATGTCATGTTCAAAAGTAATTTAGGTAGGCACCTACTTCATATTCAAAATGTATAATTAATAAAATTATAAAATTAATTTAGTTTTATATTGTATCTTACATCAATCAATTTATCCATTATAACTTCAGGGAAATTTGATGGAGTTGTTAATTCTGAATCATTAAATTCYTTTTGTATCATACAAATATCAAATTTAAATTGTTTATAATCATGTATTAAACTTATTTTACGTGGTTTAAGACATATCACTTTTTCATTAAAAGTTGTTTTCAAATTGAATGCCTATTAAATAAATGCATAATTATGTACTTAAATTTATAAGAAATGTATTTTGAAATATTTTGAAAAATGTATAAATAACCTCTTTTTTTATTTTAATGTATTGTTTAAATTTATCTTCCATTGTAATAATTTCATTTTCTTTTAGTTTAAAGTCTGGTCCGGTTTTTAAGTTCAAATAGCCAATAGTATCCCAGGCATTATCTAGCAATTCTTCTTCCTCAATATTATTATTATCTGGCTTATTATTATACATGTTTTGAATTTTAAGAATTTCTTGATTTTCAAAATGTCTTCTAGCAGCAAACCTATCAATAGCACTCTGAATTTTCTTTGGTAACGAAGAATACTCTTCAAATACATTTCGAAGAAATATTTCTGATTCAGATACATTATGTATTTGATTGAGAGCTTCTTTGGTTAGTACTATCGATCCACGTCTTCTACAAATACTGCAATGAGAGTAAGTACTAATATTAACATAATAATGATTATTTTTTCAATTTGCTAGGTAGCATAGTTAATTTAAAGTTATACTGACCTTACACTCTCTGGATCTTTTATTTCCTCAAGCCTAAGTAGAGTAGGTATAATTTATAAATTGATTAAAATGTTGAATATATTTTAGATATAATTATTAAAATTAATTACTTAGGCCGTTTTGGAAGTTTCTTGGATAAAAATTCTTCAACTAAATTACTAAATAAATTATCACGCATTTCATGGTATAACGTTTTGACTTCTACATCACTCCTGTAAATATTTAATTTAAAACATAGTTATAAGCAAAAATTATACCTATATAAAAAATTATGCATGTATAATAATAATTACACATACAAAATTGCTTTAACTGCAAACTTATTAATCACAATTGGATCGATGAAATAATTTTTTAAATACTTAAGACCTAATGAACTCTTTTCATAATCTAACGCTARCTTCAAATGTAACTTATCCATTTCACATTGTGCTTCTTTAATAAGTGAACTATTAATCCGATTATCTAATTGAAAATATTCATCAGATAATTGCAGTGTTTCAGGTAATAACTTGTTGCTGATTAAAACTTGTTTGAACTTATCTCTCAAATCATACAATAAACAACTAATTTTATCCTTTTCTGTATTAGCTAAGTTTAAAGCTCTAAGGTTTTTTTTATGAATCTTTCTCTCTTCCAAACTTAGTTTTAGGTCTTCTTTAATAATTAAAATGTCTTTTCCCTAATTTATAAATAAATATAATTTACATTTAAGATAATTAGATAAGTAGGTAATACTATTATGTATTACTTACAACAAATACAGATGACTGAGGCAATTCTGAAATAGAAATCATATGCTCAATGACTTCATTATCACATTGAAACATAAAGCTAAAAATGTTCCCATCATCGCCACAAGTGTATAACATACAGTTATCGTGACTGAAACACATCATATTTACTGTTCCTTTTTTGTTATCGTGAATAGAATATTCAATGTAGTCACCAAAATCTGATAAATTTTTTAGTTGAACGTTTGTAAGGCGTATTCTACCATCAGCAAATCCCATCAAAATTTTTAATGGATCAGTCCCACTTGAAATTATAATTAGAATAATAATAATTAGAATATGGAGAGTTACTTATATCATAAGGTAAAAACATTGTAATTAAATAAAAATGAGAGATTCTTACAAAAATTAATAGGGTTAACTAATTTTAAGATAGCAGTAGGTATACMTATGTATATTTGTGTGTATAATACTACTACAGTAAAATCCGCTTAATAGAAACACTTTGGGTCCAAGGGGAAATGTGTCAATTAATCRATTGTTTCTAATAAGCAATTTATTTCAATAACGTGCAATTGTATCAATTATCCGTGTTCCTAACAAGCGGCTTCTATACTAGCTGTAGGTATATCATTTATAAATACATTTATTACTCATGCAATAATTTATAGGTACTCTTTATGAATTACAAAATATTAAAAATGTATAACTTATAAYTTATAAGTATAGATACCTATCTAAGTGTAATTATAAAAAAATTAGAAAGGGATTMAAAAAAATWTAACAGAAAATTCCTCACCTCTAAATTAGGATATAATTAGAAGAGATATAAATAAAGTAAGTATTTTTGATAAATAATAGGTACTCTACCCACCCTCTCACCTACTTTTAAACATGATTCGAGTAATCAAGTCGCCTCAAAAGTCGAAAATTCAATCAAAGCCACGCCTTATTAATTTAGCACTCACTTAAAATATCAAATGCTGCCTGTATTTTGGTTTTAAGTCCTGAAGATAAACAGATGGATCTGTAGGTATAAACCACTTAAACATCCAAAAATATTAGACGTCTTAATATAGTTCAATTTTGTTAATACATTTTATTTTATTTTACATTTTGTTAATACAGTTGACGAAATATTATACACTAAAAATAATGTTCAATTATTTCATACTTGTTTTATTATTTCCAGTGGTTATAAATGAAAATTTCATTAAACATGAATTATGCATAAATCCAAATTTTACCTTACCTACTCTAACTTGGTCAGTTTTGTAAATAAAAAAAAAAATTAAACAAAAAATGTTAAAAAAAATAATCTATCGAATATGTAGAAACAATTGTGTTTTCATTAAAAAAAAAATGTAAGTTATATTGCGCATGCGCACACCAAGTGTTAAAAATTTTAAGTTTATCCGAAAATATGTAGATGTAAGATGTTCCCTGTTACCTCCCGAAAACCTCATTTCAATACAAGGCCATCCACTTGAGACCTGACATATTTAGTGTTACCTTATATCATGATCACTAATCACACTATATACAATTTAAAATATTTTATTTTCAGTATTCAAAAATAAAAATAAAAAATATTACTATTCCGTATTCGTGTAGGTAGCACAACCATTTTTAAATGATATAAAAAAAAAATAAAAATAATGTTAAAAATTATTGATTAGCATTTGGTACAAAGGTTATTTAATTTGTCGAGCCTTCCTGTTACTACCTGCATTGAGTATACAGAATAACAGAATATATTATATATTATTTATTATTAGAAACCTGCAGATATTTATAGGATTTTACATATTCTCACTGGCTTTATGCAACTTTACGATTTCGAGGATAAAGAATCAAACAACGTAAAATGCGTTTTACAACTTCAAATTTCGGAAAAATTGMAAAACTAAGATCTACTTCCTCTAGGGCAAATACTGTCAAATAAATATTGGATGAGCTATTTTGCGGCAATGTTGCTACAAGGTTATTTATTTTTTATTAAATTTATGAATTATAAATACGAATACATGATAGWAAAWAAATAAAGTTCGATATCATTTACTTATTCACTTATTATTTAGTTCGAAATAATAATAATCAATTGATACCTATAGCTTTTTCGTTTGGATATGGAATTGAAAATTAGCCGATTGCGAAAAAATATTTAGAAATTTAACTAGGTGTAAATATTCAGTCTAGTGGTCTTTTATACATCAAAAATTAAGATTTTTGGCAGCTAACCCCGACGGTTTAATTGATATATAATGACGGAATAGTTGAGATTAAATGTCCAGCGTTCGTTACAGAAATAACACCCGAAAAAGCTTTTGAAAATAAAAAATTAAATTTATGAGTTTTAAAGATGGAATATTGATATTGAAAACCACACATAGTTATTATTTTCAAGTACAATTGGAAATATCTGAAAGAAACTACTGTTACTTTGTTGTGTGGACACCAAAAGGTATGATTTTAATAAATTTATTATTTCTAATAGGTAAATAATATTTTATTTATATTGATGGTTCTTATTTTG